TTTGTTTTATTGTTAAGCATAAAGATACACAATGAGCTATTTATGTTTTGCCAACCATGGATATCAAAGCCAAGAGTTTAGGTTATAAGCTCTCAGAATTCCTGCTGCACCTGAAAAATTCAGTGGAGAATTATTCCTGGAAAAAAACATTAGGTTTCTTGATATCTAAAAGCCATTTTTATCAAAATTAGTTTAAGATTAAAATGTAGAGCTTTCAAAATATGATATAGACTAATAAATGTAAATTTATGATGTACTTGAATATTAAATTTTTATTATTACTATTTAGAATATAACACCTAAAACAGAAAATTGTTCTTTTTTTAAAAAATTATCTACAATAAACCTAATACTTGTATGTTTAGTGTTTAAGTATTAAAGAAATGAATCCTATAAACAACAAGTGTCATTTACATTCCTTCTGTAATACAAGTTAAAATATTAGGGACAGCCTTTTTACTCATTTTTCATAATAACAGCATTACTGGTACTTCATTTTTATTTAGAATACATTACTTTTTTATGTTCTATTTTTTGTACTTTTCTATCAGTAGTTAGTTCATATGCTTTTCAAAAATATCATCAAGAACTTTTGATCGAAGTAAGCTACCTTCGTAGATCATAATTAGCTATTACCTTAGTAGCTAATTTAATATATTGGTCTAACTAAGAGTATGCAGTTATAAAACAGAAACTTGTAATGATTAGAATACTTCGATTCATCAATTAAGCACCCTCACTGTAATGTTTGAAAAAGTTCGCTACCTTAGAAGGTTCATAGTTCTAAAACAACATACTAAGATAAGCTAACATTTTGGAGAGTGATTTTGTTCCACACACACATCAGTAATTGTCTTATCTCAAATATTATATGGAATTATACATTATTAGTAGCAAGTGTTTTCTTGTGTATATGCAGAAACAGGTTGAGAGCTGTGTGGGATTGAGTATGTACATCTGCATAGCTTACTGGTTATAGATGCACCAATATACAGTTCTAGATAAATTTTCTAGGAACAAGGTCTTCCAGTGATAATAATTCTACTTGCAATTGTTGGATATGTTCATAATGCAGATTATTTAGTTTTTTTGTCATCTTTGGGTAATTGTTCTGTACAGAGTGGCAGCACTGTAATACAAAAGATATTAGCCAGATCAGCAACTTGGCTAAAAGCCTATTTCACCTATGCAAGATTTATCATACCCTTTATAATTATAATTTCATGATTATAAGGCTGTATATAAATATATTTTAATAACTGCTTAGTATTTTTTCACAAATAGAAAAAAATTTTCTCTTTCAGAATTTGTCTTCAAATTTTAGTTTGTTATGTGACATATCCACATGTTGATAAAAATCTTATTAGATTATTTTCATAGTCTTTTCTTTATTGGCTACATATTGTGTTATGGTTATTATTTTAAAGTGTCTTTACCATTTTTTAATATTTCTTTAAATCACTGGTTTTGAAAAATGGATGTTTTATTCCTTTAGAAATCAAGCTAAAATTTAGTAACAAGTGCTTGTAGATCTAACTGGATATCTCTCATTTTATGAACATCAGGTGAACCATATAAAAACAACGGTGCATAACTATTGTCCTAATAGGAGAGATGTCATTCACTAAACCTTGTTATTCCAGTTTCTTCATGTTTTATTTTTACTCCATTTATTGTATTAACTTTTAGTTATATAAATGTTTTAATATTTTGGACCTTTACCTTAGTGAATTTCTATATTTAGATCCAAAAGTTTTGCCAGTCTATTTTTTTTCTATCCTTATGAACATTAATTATACTGAAAAGTTTTAAAAAACTTTCAAGGGGTTATAATAAAAACTGCATTTTAAAAGATGTTTTCATGGGTTACTTTTGAAGGTAAATTAAAACCTTGTTCTGCATTTTTTTATTTTAGTATAAAGCTGAGTTGATAAAGGAGTTTAGTAAAACTTATCTGCCTCATCTAACAAAGAATGGAGCTCTCAAACCTGTAATAAACAAAGTTTTTTCATTTGGAAAAGTTGGTGATGCCCATCGCTACATGGCTTCCAACCAGAACATTGGGAAAATTGTTATTCTGGTTCAGGCTAGGGAGGCTCCAGAACGAGAAGAGTTTTAATTCCACTGAAGACAATCATTTTACATATGTTTTGTAAGGAATTCATGTGAGAATCAAGACCCAGTGTTCACCTTCACACTTTAAACTGAAATCAGAGTAGCAATAGTATAATGGTGCCACATCCTCCTAAAGCCATACTATTTTGATACACATTAATTTTTTCTTGTAGGTAAATCATATAGGACCCCAGACTATATTTTTTAATAATAAGTTATAACATTCACTCTATGTTAAGTATCATCTTTGGCTTTGTTGAGAATAAGAACTGTATATCACTCTACTAGAAGTGCCAGCATTATTGTTTAGTTGTTGGACATAGTTCTCCTTGAGATGAAAATTTTAAATTTGATTATATGTTTATTGAACTTTATTAATTTTGAAGACATTTTAATTTTATATGCTTACTGAACATTTTTTAGGTTTGAAAATACCTCGAGTTCATTAAAAACTTGTCCTTCAGACTATTTGCAGATGTAAATTTTTTCTGTGTATTTTACCTTGAAGTTTATATTTACATTCTCTTCAAAAAAAGAACTGATATTTTACAATCTTCAAGTTCACATGATATTATATTTCATATGATTTCAACATACCCAACCCAATCAGCTAGAATGAATATAAATTTCACTTAACAGATGAACAAATCTTATAAAAGTTAACATTTTCTCAATCTGAAAAAGTATTTCCAATAGATAACTCCATAAACAAAATAGCTATATCTCTTGGATGTCTGCCTATGAGATCTGCATGCCACTAATCCCAACCTAAAATTCACAAATTGAATGTGAACTGCACTGGTGCATGATGACATCTTCCTTCACCAATAGCCCTCCCCTTTAGCACTTGTAGTTGATATAACTTCATGCTTAGACAAGGCAAGAAGAAAGTGTACTGGAAGTGGGAGGTTGGGTTAGGAAAATGTTAACTTATTAGTCAAATTTAAATCTACATGAGCTCCCTTCAAAAAGTGTCCGAAGGACAAGCCCATGGAGTGTGACACCCAATGGCACGGGGTCCATACATATCTGTGATAGATCACATCTATTCTCATCTAGGGTATACTCTTCACCTGAAAATGTAAAGGTGGTAGAGGAAAATAAGTCTCAAGTGTCACAGAGATGGACAGAATAAGAACATGATTATCCAAGTACTTGTACACAAGTGGGCAAAGAGCCAATAAGTGTATTGTGGTTATGGCATAATCAGACCATATGGAGTGTGCTCATCTTGACTGAACAGACTCAGGCTGCAGGAAGAGGGCACACCAGCTGTTGGAGGTGTGACCTGTACTACACTGACAGTGTAAGCACTGTCCTACTTCTCATCATACTGTGCTGAGCCCAATCTGTGAGGAACCCTTCAAGGTCCAACACTTAAGCAGCTAGGACCTGGTAAGTGGCAAAGAGTCTCCCATGCTCCTCTGGAAGAAGGGAGGGGGACTCAAATTAGGGAGACCTGGAGAAGTACCTTGATTCCCATCAGATGTCTGCTGGAAAGTCCAAGCTAAAGAAATGAGCATCACTTATAGTCTGTGGAATGGTACAGTTTGGATTGGGCATTGAGTAATAGTCTTGCAGAACACCCCATATTGACAGTAGGCACTGGATAGAACTGGGGAAAGGAAGAAAGGAGAGGTCTGGGTAGAGGAGTAAATAAATGTGTTGGGATAGTTTGAGAAGCATCAAAAGCATAGATATATGAATGATGATGACCACAGGTGAGGAGAAGAGAGTAAGTCTTAAGATAAAAGTGGTATAAAGAGCAAGAAGCCAACAGCTCAAACGAGAAATGTGTGAGAGCATGAAACACCACATTAAGGTCCCAGTCAGGTGAAGAAGGAATAAAGTGGAGAGGACAAGGGAAGAAAATACCCTATGGTAATGGGAAAGGTAGTGAATAAGGATGCCCAATAACCAGCAATGGTGGAGACTGACAAACTATGGTCAATCAAATGAAAAAGGTAGAAAGGTGTGTCACAGTAGAACAGCTGGAAGGAAGGGAGCAGTGTAACATCCTCAACAGTCAAACAAGCCTCTAGAAACTATAGTAGAAACAGGCCATGTGTTTGTAACTTTGTCACCATCATTTGACAATTCATATAGTATTCAATGCTTTTGACACAAAAGCTAAGGTGGAATGAAACTTAAATTTTTTTGATAAATACAAATCTCAGTAAATTGCACATAGACTGAAAAATCAACATGTCTGTTCAAGGTAATGCCAAAGAGAAGAATGAAGTTATTTTGTGTGCAAGTAGTAAAGGGGAGTTACTGTGCATGGAGGTTATGTTGCTTTCCTATTGGTGGAGGTGCCATTGTCACATGATGATGTCATCATGCACCAGTGAAGTTCATGTTAAACACATGAATTTTAGGTGGAAGTTAGCTCAAGGCTAGTGGCATGCAAATCTCATGGGCAGATAGTTATTCTGTGTGAGAGGTGAGAAATCATCATGGAATTCAACTGTTAGTATAATTTTTTAACTTGATTATTCTTCTGAAGTATCAATCACTTTCATATACCAATATTTTTTATTTACATGTTATAAAAGTTCCTAAGGTGATCATTTAGATAATTAAAAAACAAACAAGTGAATAAATACCATCAAATTTACTATTCATCTCTCTCTATTTTACAGATATACATGGGACCAAAATTCTGAGGTAAAAAGGGAACAACCAACTGTCCATATTTACATGTAAAGCTAAACCTAAAAACATTATGAAATGGTCTAAAGGTATCGGTAAGATCCTTGACACAAAACTGCGAGTTTGTTGTCTCATACATATTCTGTAGAGCCATGTTGACAACTCCATCATTCTGGATGGGGGACAAGGAACATGTAGAATACACCAATGATCCACCTGGCTTCAAACTTTTTAGTCCAGCACTGCAAAATATTATGAGCTTAAATGACATGTGATATCAGAATACTTTCCAAAGATGTTAAGCATTATTAAGACTGATTTTCACGACTTCTCCAATGAGATAACTATGGTAAAGAATGATTATGTATGTGTTCTTAACATTAACTAATTATTTACTGTAATAATACCACTTTTCATTATATCTTTAAAGTACAATTAGGGGCAACCCTTATGACAGATACTATTTAGTGAGCATAGCTTGAATTTATCTCTTAAAATAGGCTCACTCAAACTATACCATGTAGTTGGCCTACAGTCAATAAGTTGAATCAACAATCACATTTCATTTGTGTGAATGCTCACCAGTTACATCAACAAACATAGTATATGCATAGTTGAACTATTTTGTAAATAAATTTCACTTCATTGCACCAGCATTCAATCAGTCAACAATGTACAATATAGTTCATTCTAGGATCAATCCTAGAGCAAAAGGAATAGAAAGAAAAAGGGCAATTTGGATTTTTTGTTTCTTTTTACAGTGGTTATAAGGTTTTGGTCAAATTGACCAACCTCATTTAGAGTTAGGGTACAGAAAATAACAGATTAAATATAGTTTTACTGAAAAAAATAAAATAAAACTATTTAGGAGGTTTTAGAGAATATGTAAATGACATTTGAGAATTTTCAGATGAATAAAAGTATTTTTCATCTTAATGTGAAAAATCACTTTGAACTTGGACTATTAAACAAAACTACATGATATATTAATGGACAAATCTTTATTAAAAATTCTTAATTAAAAAAATATTAATTGTGTGTGTGTGTGTGTGTGTGTGTATACAAAAGTCTTGTAATGTTCACTGAAAGTCTACCAAATTTTGTGAAGATGCATGTAATGTATTTAAAGTTATAATGTGGAAACTGTAAAAAGTACCCCATGCTTACAAACTTGGTTGATTCAACAGATCCTGTGTTGAAAGCAATTAAACTATCATTTCTGACATTACTTACTACATTTGGAAAACCAACAGTTGTTTTTGGATATTTAAATATGTATAATATTTATAACCATAATTTAATGTATTTTCTTCTCTGTTACAGTCTCACATTCAATTAAATTGTAATATCTATCTTAACAAATCCAAGGTAAAGGAGAAACATGAATCTCACCATCTGCCAGCAATGCCACATGACAAAAGTAGGAAGTAAACAATAAAAGAACCTCTGAGTATCCCTTAATTTCTTTATATTTGACTTGCACATTTTTAATGTCTAATAGATGAAGCAGAATTCAAAATGTTTGACATCTGTCTAGCATTTAAGCTCTAAACTACTAATACCTCTCTTACATGAAAACTTTAATACTTTCAGATACTTCTAAAAATCTTGAACTATACAAAATAAAACTTGATAATATTGTAAATCACAGTGAAGATGGAGCTTTTAACATATGAAGCTAATGCTTTGGTGGTATTCTGTCTTTGTTACTTGCCATGTGACATGACATATATCACTTACCATAAGATATTCGTCTGTTTGTGAGGAAGTTCTATTCTCTCCTTTAGTCGAGTAGGTTTGAAAATGTTGTTGTCATTTTTGTTTACAGAAAGTCTGTCATTAGTACATGGAACATCAACCAAAACCTATGTAAAAATATAAGAACAGCAGGTTTTTTAGGCATATAAAGCAAAGAAGTATTAAATTCAAATAACTTATGCTTCTTTTTAAATGTAGCAAAATATATCATCATAGAGTTTTGTTCATCTAGCACTACAATAACCAAAAGCACTGTAACACACAAGTAAGCTTTAGAAACCAGGAAATGAATTGAATTAAAGCTAATAATAATTAATTCTCTTCAAAATATTTTGTATAGTTTAGCATCTCAATTCCATCAAGATCACACACATTGTTTTGGTGACTTAAGTCAAAATATAATAAAGTAACGAGCATCAATCACGAAACTCTGAACCTAAATAACTTTGGTTCAGTGCAGGTATTAATTCACTCAATACAGGGTCGATCCTATGGACTGACCATGGGACCATTATTACTTGTATGGTTTAATACAGTGTGTATCTTCACAAAATTTAGCAGATTTTTAGTACATATTACTAGTACTTTGTACACAAAAAAGCAGTTTTTTTAATGAAATATTTTTACTAAAGATTTGTCTGCGAATATATTGAGTATTTATTTTGAATAGTCCATGTGCAAAGTGATTTTCATGTTAAGATTAGAAATACTTTCCTTCAATTCAAATATCTCAGATTTGGTTTGTGTATTCTCTAATACCCTCTAAATACATTTCAAATGTTTGTTTTCACTAAAATTTTATATTTTTATCTGTTATTTTCTCTACCCAAATTTGACTGACCTCATTACCTCGTTTATTGCCCTTTGAACCATGTCTAACTACTGTTCATGCCATTATAAGTTGTAAATCACTTTGGGAACATGGAGGTCATGTTATGCTATCGAATTAAGTTACCCACGAGCTGCTCACATGCTTGCCTCATGAAACATTTTTATTTTATTATTATATATTCCACCTAATCTAACCTTAACTAACCCAAAGAGATCCCTATTTTTACATTTTAGTTACTTTTATAATAATAAACATGAAATGAAGTACTTACCCAATCTTCTTTTTTCTTGCTGTCGATTGTCAATGACACTTAGCCTATTTTCTTTATACTAATGGTAATAATGCAATAAATAATTGTTATTTAATTAAATAATGCAAAAAGTAGACAATTTCCCCTAACTCTCACAATTTTTCTATGCAACAAGAGCCATTACAAATTCATACAAGCAAGTCGTTATCTTTCCCATGGGAATGAAGCTTGTACTAACAGTGAAATTGACAATTCTCCATTCAGAAAACAATGTTATACAATACTTCATTTGATAGATGAAAAACCTTGGTTTTCTATTTGTTATAAGTAATATAGAATTAAACATAAGAGAGAACTATTAACAAATCCTGAAAGAGAGGATGTGACAGGTGGGTGTGGCAAGAGGGGGGTCTAATTTTTCTATTTGATAGCTCTGTAACCAAACAAAATCAAAGGCTATAGAAATTATGGTTTGTCTGAGCAATGACGATTTAATGTGAGTAATTTACATTTAATTTCGTACTTATTGGAGGGATGGTGGATAAAATAGAAAAGAGAAGATGCATAGAGAATGTGTGTCATATGTCACACACTATGGGAAATTCAGGATTTTTTTTAATATTGCCATATAAAATTAAGAATTTGAAAGTTATATACTATTAAAATATGGAATATTATAAGATTTTATGCTATACTACTTGGAATAATGTAAACAAAAAGTAGTGTTACGACAGCGGAAGTCACGTGACGCTGGTAACACGTAATGAGTATCTAGAAGGTTCCTGAAGGCTCGAGACACCCTCTATTTTGTATATATAAGACCGGCGAGAAGTGACGGCATAAGTAGATAATTAAATAGCAGACAGGGAGATAGAGACAGATAATCCATATAGTGTGTGCTTAAGTTAAAGTGACTGTGGAAATTAAGTGCATTGCAAAGTTGTATTGAGAAAGAATAAACTAGTTTTATTTAAGAAAGGACTTGTATTGCTAAAGTTTCATCCGAAATAAATTATACAGGAAATTAACAAACGACCAGAGACGTAACAGTAGATTAATAAAATTTTGAATTTAAGTTATTAAAACCTCGTGACATGTGCAGTAAAGGATGCTCGTCATGATAGGGTTAAACTCAACAATTAATTGATTCTTATCATTTTGCAAGTGTTATCTGCAACATTCATTTGATCATAGCACAATGTTATATATTCAAACTCACCAAATGGAAGCCATTCTTGATATAGAAAATAGCTTTAAAAAAAATCCAAAAACATAATTTTACTAGAGTACAGTAACTAAATAAAAATCTGATGAAGAAGAGCCTATGTCCTGAAGTTTTCAAAGAATTTAACTTCTCCCAGAGCATCGAGAAAATGACACTTTCAAATTGACCATAAATTACTGATATAACAGTAGTTTTATGAGAAAGTAAAGCACAAGAAACATTTCAAATATTCACAAGAATGTTATAGTATAAAATATTTTATAAAATCCTTGAAGAACAATAATAACATTTAGAATTTGTCATTCAACCCGACACCTTCATAGATTTTTATTCATAATGGAAAAAGGGTTATCCTGTTTGAAAGAAATATTTTTCACATAATTATTCCTGACATTAATTACATTTTATTTTTGTTGGAATAATTTTTACAGTTACATACTCTTGTGAAACAAACTTGTATATATGATTTCATTACATGTATATAGGTTGAAAAGGTCAAGATTGTTATTTACTTATGAAGAAGTTAAGACCAGACAAATACAAACATTAAGTAATGGCAAAAAAATATTTGACACACTTATTTTAGTATTCTGCACTGAAGGTTACATAACATACCTTCTGGTGCTATTTATAACTGCTATTATTAAAATGAGTGCATATCTTGTTACAAAAAGTTCAATGGTTGAAAGCTATCTGAATTAAATATATTGAGTTTTAATTGAACATTTTCTAATTCTTGAAGAATAACTATTGTGTTTCTTTTCATGTGTAGGTTTAATAAGTAAGACTACAGTAGAAGAATGACCTAGATGGGCCAGATGGCATTTTATCGCCTTGTCTTGTTTTGTTTGTATGTTATAATATGAATAAAATGTCATTGTCTCAAGCAAAAGAAAATCATAAGTGCTTCAGTGCAGCTCATTTTCTGAGATTTAATTCAGTTTATGCATACATACCTTACTAGGTGACTACGTTATGGTACTTGGCACAACGTTTTACATCATCTTGGACATTGCTGTGAAAAAAGCTAAAACAGAAAGAGCTAAATCTATTTTACAAAGCTCCCCCCCCCCAAAAAAAAGAGAAGAAAAACCAACAACAACTTTGTAGTGAAATATTATAAATGTCTTATTATGTTTTTATTTACTGCATACTTGATTTTCCAAAGGAAGCACACAAACACATCCATCAAGTCCAAAAGTTCACTGTGGTCTCTTAGATTAACTGCTTTTTGGGCCTGAGTCCTGGATCCTTCCTGTACATAGTAATATCTAATTTGTTGCTTAACCATTGAAATCCATTCAGTGGGCAATTTAGAAAAGATTAGAACAAAGGAATAAAAAAAGTTTAAGATAAAGTTCTGTGTAGTTTTCAGGAGATGACATCACTCAAGTTTCTTGTGTTTAATATGTCTTCATAAATAATCAAATGTATCAGGTGTATAAGAAAGAGCTGTTTTGAAAAATCTGCATTTTATGCTTGATACAAATGTGCATGTTTATATTGTTGCGTCAGCGAGTCACATGACTAGTGTGACGCCAAGTTCTAGAACTATCGCGTACCTTGGCGAATGCTCTAGTATTTACTAGATATAGGGTAGTCGGGTATATAAAAGAGGGTGACAACGTGACGGGGAATGTAATGTGTGTAGACAGTGAGTAATTGATCTGCAATCAGAAGTATTATTGAGCACGTTCGTTGAAGTTGAGTGTATCGGTAAAGTTATATTCGGAAAGAATAAACCAGTTTTATTAAGTAAAGAACTTGTGTCGCTAAAGTTTCGTCGGAACGAAGTTACGGAAAGTTAATTAACAAACGGAGACGTAACAATATGTTGAATTCAAGACCACAAGATACAAGCTATGTTTTAACCTAGGAATTAATCCATACTTACCAATTCACACCAATGTTATGAAGCTGTTGCTATATTAGCCAAGCTAATAGGGCTACATGTACAAGCCTAAGAACAACAACTTTTCATCATACAATAGCTTATATCTCACATACACTTATAAAACATCAGGACTTAATACCTTCTCTGATCTGTGGTTGAAGCAACAACAGTCAACTCATACCAGAATTCTAAAGTTGCTATATTTAAACTGAGCTAGCATAGCTGCAAAATTCAGGAACACAAATGCTCATTTCACATTAACTCAGATCTCCTGTGCATTTTGTTACATGTCAAGATGTAAAATCTAGTGTTGTAACAATGAATAAAAAGATTATCAAGTCCACTGTTCTGAAACTGCTGCTACCTGTAAAATTAAACAGAGCAAGCAGTAATTCAAGCCCCAAACAGATAACCTGCCATCCCTGTTAGCACAGCTTGTATTTATATATCCATTTGTTCAGGAAGTTGCAAGACATTTAAATAAGCTAACTGTACCTTGTCATAACATCCAGTGTGTCTTTCATCACAAGCATTACTTTTCATTATTACAATCCTCTTCCTCCATGAATCCATAGAAGGAACGTAGAACTTGAAAACTTCCATCAGACGGTTTATTCGTGATTCACTAATATCATTACATATCAGTTTATCTATCAAATGAATACAGAATATTTATTAAAAAGGAAGGAATTATAAGACTAATCTATTTTAATGTTAACAAAATTTCTGTCATTCACATTACATATTGGGGTTGCAAGTACTCTAATGCAGTATATTTCTTGTTTAAACATAAGAGTATTTTAAATGTCAGATTATATGTAAATTTACATCATTGCCTTGAAACAATACAACAATATCATGGCATAAAAATAAACTGGTATATTAAATAATAGAAGTACTGTAACATTAATGTAAAAAGAAAAGTTTTTAAGCAAATTATACTTTTGAAATAAACTGTTTGCTACTAACAAGATGACTGCACTAACTACACATAAGAACTTGGGTTAAAATCTCTGTGGCTCAGGTAATTGTGCTGGGACAATTGCTTCACCTCATTTACATTAATGATATTGATAGAGGCACAGTCAAGAAACAAATTTGTTGAAGATGTAAAAAAGCAGTGGCCTGACTTATAATGAGAATATCATGTCTTTGTAATATCTTGTAAATTAAAAAATGATGACTTTGGGTCTTTATGTTACTTTTGAGTATTAACACTTATTGAGAAAATTGCTGCACCTAATGTTTACTTTAATTAGTTGCATTTTGAGAATTCAACTTACATAGCAGAAACAAACATCTTAAAATTTTCTCAAAAAATACAAAAATCAATGGATGCAAAAATTAGTGAAATGAGTAAAAGTTTTAATTTATTACATCAAAATGGGAATTTGGAAAGACAGGTGAAAAATTAGAACAGTCAGCAAGCATTCAAAAAGAACTTCGATGTGAAGTCTCTTAATTAGGTGGATGAAAAAAAGTTCTAATTTTCCTCCACTGAAAATGAATTTCAGACAGGCACTTGCTTCCTCTCACATATAATAGCTACTCTTGTTCAGTGCTGCCCTCTATTTACAAATTTTTTTGCATGCCACAAGCCCTTCACTCCCATACACACCTCAACTCACATGGTTTAACTGATTCTCCCATTCAAATTACCATGCGACAAACCTCCAGCAACATTAGTGCTACACACCCACATGATTCATGTGACTCCCTCTATGCTATTCTACCTAACTATCACTTCAAGCTTAGGCAGAAACATAAGTGTCAGTTGACAGAGGGAAGTGTGACCAGAAGTAAGTACCTGTTAGAAATACATTCTCAGTGTAGGAAAATTATAACTTCCGACAAGGTACCTCACTTCCGCTCACATACATAGTTAAAATACCACATTGAATAGATTGAGGGACTGGTGCAAGGAAGAAACTAGAAGCATCCGAAGGATACCCTAATGAGGGAACTCTCTAATAAGAGAATTATATGTCTGAGACCACACTACTTCTGTACCAGATATACTCTTCGTCCAGATGTGGAAAGGTGTGACAGATTCCAACAGAAAATTGTGAGGAGCACATTCCAATGAGAGAGAAAATGGCTGGACAGTGATCCTAACCACAATATATTGTAATTTCATTCTCCCTGATGAAAAAAAATGTGAGTAAAATAAGGGATGTGCCCAAGGTGTAGAGTGGCTAGAGTGCAACGGCCTGTACACTGCAAATCAACTGCATCCAAAACTCGACCGCCAGGAACACATATCCATGCGAGGATAGAACAAGGATAATACCATCGGTAAGTCAACTACAATCCAAAACTCAACCACCAGTAACTGATATCCATGCGGGGATAGGAAAGAGGATCATACCTTCTTCACCTCAAGTTCAGCTGACCGGAGAGGGAAAAATCCCACCACCAATCTGTGAACAGGGCAGATGTAAGCAGAGTGAAATATATCCCACTCAAATCAAACAGTCCAGGACTACCTCAAATGCAGTAACATCCTCAGCACAAAGACATCGAGAGGTCGTGCAAGAGGAAAAAGTGGAACAGCCAACAAGTGCCACCACTGTGACTCATAACACTGAGATAGTGCACTCGTGCCAAATTGAGTGAGGGATCAGGGACACCCTGAACACATGTGTGAGGTCTTATGTTGATTGGTTCAGCTCTAAATCTAAAACTCAACTGCTGGGAACTGACATCCATGCAAGAGTAGGATAAGGGATTCCAATCGAAGAGGTGAACTGCATTTATGTCAGCACACTATATGTGCGAGTACATCACATCAATTGGTTCAGCTCTAAATCCAAAACTCAATTGCCGGGAACCAACATCCATGTAAGGGTACAATGAGGGATCCCAATAGAATGGCATGTGTGAGGACATGATGGAGATTGGATCAGCTCTAAATCTAAAACTCAACCACCAGGAACTGACATCCATGCAGAGTAGGACGAGGGATCTCAATCGGTACTACTGAGCATGGACAATATGTTGATTGGTTCAGCTCTAAATCCAAAACTCAATCGCCAGGAACTGACTTCCATACAAGGGTCGGATAAGAGATCCCAATTATTATGATGGTGCAATCCAAAGCTACAACATCTCCTCGGAAAAACCCGCACAGAGATGGAGCATACAATTGGATGACATCTTGTCATCTACACCAGCAGAACACCACTGCTCTACTCTCAACTGAATGGAGTCTTTATTGTTTATATTGTATATCTCTCATTCAGAAAGATAACTCCATGGTCCACCATCCCAGCGGCTTGGAACTGGAAAGTGGTAAAAATTCTCACTCTAATGGAAGAAACAGGGAGGGGGCAAATGTAGTGGTGATTCTGGAGGAATGTTTACACAGGAAACAATGCAATGAGTGACCACAAAACCATATCTGGAAAAGCAGACAAAACCAAATTTATTCAATTTAAGGAATGGCAGTAATCCCCTTCTGCTTTACCCATGAAGTCCATGGGTTAATATGGTCCGGAACAGGCATATTCATGATACAAAGATATCGCAAGGAATAACCTATGAGCGATCTTGTGGAACATCCCATCTCTAGTTTATGTGATTGTAGTGAACAGTGTGCATTTTATGACCATGGAAATTATGAAAGTGAGGGTCAACATTGCTTCACAGTGTGGGTTTTAGTGATTGAAGTATACCTGGACAGGCACCACTCCCCACAGAACAGTATCCTGGTCAAAACATGGGACAGGTCCCTGAAAAATAATATGTATGGCAAAAGAAATAAAACTTACCCAGTTACAGTCTCATCAAACAATGAAGGATGGCAACAGGTGGAAGACATTACCCTGACGAGGAAGAAACAGCTACCCAAACCAGATAATGGGAGATGAACATACCAGGTGTAGTCCCAGTGTTCAACAGACAAAGTACCTCCAGTGGAAGACAGGGTTGAGATGCAGGTAAAAGGTATGGTGCCTGAATGGAGTGAAGACACCAGGAATTGATTACAGGAAGAAGGAGACAAGGAATAGAAGGCCAATTGAATCACAAGCTGAACCCATTGCGTAAGAGAGGGAGGGAAAAAAAAGTCATGAACAGTGGAAGGGAAAGAAACTAAGGAAAATGGAGTCAATGGAAAGAAGCATGTACAGGACAGAGAAAATCATTTGAACCTGACCTAGAATAAAGGTGAAAGATGGCAAGAAAAAAAAATGATGCAATATTTCACATGAGCCCCCAGTGTGTAGGTTAGTAAAATCGATTCAGAACAAAAAGAACATATCGAGCCAAAACAGCAGAGAAAACCAGATCTGTGCTGGCCATCAGGAAGGATCAGTTAAAAGAACCTGACCTGGAGTGACATGAATGATCAAAATTCCCTTGATAAGAAAAGTGACAGAATGAGAAAAACTAAAGTTATAAACTGGAGCTAATCCAGTCTGAATGTATCAACAGCCAGGGCAAGTGGGTGATGAACCAGAGACAAAAACAAAAGAGGTAACTTGGAATTGAGAAAGGAGTCAAATGCTTCCCGTGGAGGAATACCACACAGGAGGCAGAGGCAACAAAAATTTTAGGGTCGAGAGGCCACTCCTTGGTAGAAAGTGTGTCAGAACTGGAAAGGCAATCTGCAAAGAGATGTATGTCAAGTGCAAGTTCAAAAAGGGAGATCTATTGTCTATCACAAAGGGAACTAGAACAGGTGCCCCCTTGGCAAATGAAATAATACACCACCATTGAACAGTTGTAATGAACCATGATTAGTTAAATCCAGACAAGAGGAAGAAAGTGAACTAAAACACATGCCAGGGTGTTAACATAGTAAGACCTTTGTCCTGAAGCCTCCAGCTGATCAACCCATGCCCCAAAATCTTTGGAGATGAGTATCAAAAGAAGAGAAACAAATTCAGATGAAGGGGAGGAAACAGTAAACCCAATGACATATTCAACTATCAACGCAGATAGTCGAAGAGGGAAAGGGAAAAGCTATGAGAAGAATCTAAAAGGAACCCCAGCAAGAGACCATGGGTTGTGCAGCATTTCCTGAAAAGATTGCAAAAGTGCCACACCCAAAGCCACATCCCCAAATGCATTAGGACCTTGCTAGCTGTAAGATAGTGAACTGTAATGGCATGGATAACATAAACCTCCATCGAATGCAATCGAGGAGGAGAAAGGATGGTCCCGACAGAGGGGATGATTAAAGAGACACTCCCCAAATAGCCACGATTGTTAGATAGGTAACAGGAAAAAGATATCCAACTGGAAAATCCAACCACCAGAGCTGCTTGTTTAAGAAGCAGATGAGTCTGTTACAACCACCCCCGTTCGAAAGAAGCTAACTGAAGCCAAATATCTAAGTATTGGCGTTAGTAAAATACCCCAAAATGCAAAACTTAAGTAAAACACAGACCACCTGACAAAAGACCAAATGAACCAAAAGAAGTCCAAAGGGAAGGCAGGAAACTGATACCAAATCACATGGTGAAAAACCTAAGATAGCATCCTGAGAAATAAAAACTAATAATGTGTACCGTGGACATTCTCAGTCTCCAGGAGTCTATATAAACAAAGTTAATAAGAAGAAGTATAAAAGATAAATAATAAGGAAAATGAAATAGACATTATACTGTAAAATTAAGTAACTGTGTATTGGCAATAACATATGTAAGAAACGTAATGTTGTGAAGAAACAACTATAATCCATACGTTGAATTACAGGTAATCCTAAAATAACAGAACCATCTTGTCCTAAACTAACATTATAGAACAAAGAATACAAATAAGCTCTAATTTCAAACCTAAACTCAAGTATGAGTATTGACCAATCTAAGTGAACTTATCTTATTGAATCCAAATAATTACAGATAATAATATTAACAATAAAAATATTCTAAAATTCTAACAAGACTTTATTTCAAAATGTATGGGCCCCCAAACTTGAGTTGAGGCCCGATGAAGGTCAGCTCATTGGACGATCAATGTCCCGATGAAGTAAAGCCAGTAATCTCTCAGTCGAGGACTGTCACCTGAAGCCTGTGTAAATGTGCTGATAGAAGATATAACCTCCTAAGTGGTAACTTAAAATCCATAATTCAAAATGAATAACCAAACACAACCATGTTGGCAGAAACAAATAAAAAGTATGAAAAAAAATTGAAATAAGTATTAAGTTCTGTAACTGGGTAGAAATATCAAATGATTCCACTTTGAAATAAATGACAAATATCACTATTGCATAATAAATAGTAAACTTATTTAGAGAAATTGATACGAAAATGTGAAAAGAAAAACACTTAAAGAGAGCACAAACTGAACATGAGAACTGCCAAACGAGAAGTGATAGTTAGGTAGAATAACATAGAGAGAGTCACATGAATCATGTGGGTGTGTGGCACTACTGTTGGTGGAGGTTTATCGCAGGATAATTTGCATGCAAGAATCAGTTAAACCATTTGAATCAAGAGGTGCGTGGGAGTGATTGTGGAATGCATAAAACATTTTTGCAAACAGAGGGCAGCACTTAATGAAAATAGCTATGTATGTGAGTGGATATAAGATACCTTGTTGGAAAGGGTCTTGGGACATATGATGATGAAACTCTAAAGACTTCAAGACAGTGTTCTATAAAAAAATGTTGTGTTTTTTACATATAGATATTGATTACAGATTCAACAAGCCATGATTTTATTGCATAAGCACTGGTGGAGCTTCATTTAGAATATGATGTGCAGTTTTGTTCTCATTATATTGGAAGAAAATTGAGTTGCTAGAGAGGGTTCAGAGGATGCCTATTCGGATGATGCTGAAGATTGATAGGTTGAGATATCTGAGCTTGTTCTCTCTTCAAAATGGTCAGAGGTAACCAATTGAATTTTTAAAACTATTATGAGAAACTATAAAATTGAATAATTAGATTTTCTGTGTTGAATTCTGAGAGCAGTAGGACAAAAGAACATAAACTTAAGAGATGGAAAAAATCAGACATCTCCAGTTGATGGATCTTTTCCTCAACAGTGTGAAAAAATTACCAAATACAGTGGTAAAGATTAAATAAAAGGTTGATGAATATTTTTGGGACCAGGGTTGTACCACACTAAGTGATTAGTTTTCTGTTGTTGAGGAAGGCTGACAATTTGGACATTCTTGTTGAGCCAAAAGGCTCCTTGTTGTCCCATAAGTTATAACTAGAAAAAAGTAGAAGAAATGCAGAAGTTAGAACTGAGTAGAATTTGAGAGCATCTTTACTATTTTTCAATTTTAAAAGTTTAATAAAATTATTGAAGTCAAAATAGAAAACCTTGTTAGTTATTTTCCAAATATAATGCATTACTGTCATATTTTATAACTATAATTATTTATATAGCAACATCTTGTATAACTAGTTCTTCACCTGGCAGTAGAGTAAGAAGAGCTGTAAGAGCTTTTCCACCAGGTGCTGCACACAAATCAGCCACTATATCACCTGGTTTGATTCCCAATGCAAGAACAGGTAACACTGAAGCTCCATCCATTAAGTAGTAACCTAAGCACAAAGTAAATGATGCGAGTTGTATTGGTATCCAATAAAAAAAATCCTCCAGAATTATTATTAATTACATTTTCTTTAAGTTCAGCTGTTGCCAATAACTATTTTGTTTACATTATGAATACAAAGATTTAGTACATTATATTAAATTGATTTTGGAGCCTCATCACATCATTGTAGTCCAACTGACATGTTTGATCATGCCATATCTGATAGCCATCCATATTCCTTTGTTTTACAATGCCATAAAATACAATTGATATTCCTATCTTGGAAATTCTAAATCTCCAATCTCAAAACATCTTTATGATCTGAATGTATAAATATTTTGCATCAGAATGGGTTGCTATATACCCTTCCAAAAATGGTAAATTTTTGGTGTTTTCACACTACCTATGAAATGTCAAAAAATTTGAACATGTAGTTGTAATTCATGCCTTTCAAGGCAAATTTATATAGGCTGTGGTCGTCACAAGTCTTGCTGATTTACATATTCAAAATACCTTTAACATAATGTACTCAACCCTCTGTACTAACAAGTATATTTTTATGATTTAGTTTGTCCTACAACAGATATTGAGAAACACATTTATCTTTTAAGCACATTGCTAAAGGAAATCTTGATATTTTAACTTTAGAAATAAAAACATAAAACAGAATTGGTTCTTTCTTCTTTTTCATCTCAAATTCACAAGGCAGCATTTCATGCTTTTCTACTAATATTATGTTTTTAATATCACTAGATTAGTACTAGCCATTCTGAAGTAAGGCTAAACTGTGTGTCATTAAAAATTGTTTACAGGAATCCAAAATATTACTTAAAAACTCCTTTTTCAAAGAGTGGTCTAGTATTTCACCACAAGAAGATTAAACACATTAACATCCTGTGTCAAAAGAAAAATTACTAATTTATATAACTGTAACAACTAACGTAATAACAGGGTTGATAAATGAAAAAAAAAAATATATATATATATTACTGTAAAGCACTAAGTAGAAACACATGTATTTAAAGTACTGAAAATACTTATGTGATATAAAAATTAACTATTCATTATCAAACAACTACCACACTTATAAAAAAAAGTTTGACTTGTACTTCATAATGAAATAATAGGAGGAACAGATATGTTGATCTTATATGACTTAGTCTTGAAATTAGCTAATTGATAAAAAAAATGCAGTAGCAAACACTGCCTTTCAAAACAATTTTTTAAATACTCTCGATACAGCATTTTAACATTATGTTCTGTTGATTCTGAAAAAACAGACTTCAATAAAGTACAAATCAATACCACACAGTTGTTATAATTTTTGTCAAAACTGGTTAATTATAATACATTAATTATTCAAAACTAGAATACTGTCACCAGTACAACATTAAAAAATTTAAGTGTTCAGTTATTAAAGAAAAACACACAAATCTGTGAAAACACCCATATATTGTAACTTATATACCAAGTAAGCCAAGAGAATCTCGTTTTGGACTTGGAAAGTCAGAAAGATCTCCTCGAGAAAAAAAACCATGCACTCAAGTGTTCTGGAAAGTTCAATTCTTTTTCTTGTTTAACTGAAAAAGATTCGGTCATCTGAGGTTGGTAGAGGTCAAAATATTCTTTTTCATTGACTATTTCTTCTTGATGTCTCATCTTTGTCACAGGCATATAGTCTTGTTCTGCCAGCCTCATCAAATCATTTGGACTGATATATCGAACACTATCTATACTCTCATTATGTTGACTGGAATAGCCTGTTACTTCAGAATCATCAGAAGATATGTCTGATTGGTTTTCCCCTTCACCTGAAACTGTCTGATTAGGTGGTTCTTTCTGGTACACTGTAACTGTATCAGAATGACTTTCACTTTTATCAATTACACTGTTTTGGGTGCTAATATCTAGAGCAGATGAATATACATCTCTCAAATGTAATGCTCCAAGGTCAAAAAGCATATTTTCTGTTTTTTCTTGGTTAGAAAAACAATTGATGACAGCAAAATATTTGTGGGGGCAAAGCAGAGCCAGTCTTATAGAGGGCCATTGTTTTCCAAATATACTTGAATAAAAGTCATCAAAGTGCTGGATTGCCAAGTCTGTTGACCACTTCTTGTTGGATAACTTTGCCTAAAAAAAAAAGTCTTTGAAACAATATTTTTGGAATTTGTACTTTTTTCAACAAGAAAAATTTAAAAACCATGTCAGTGTTTTATATACAAGCTCAATGTCTTACTTTCAAATAACAAAACAAAAATTCTTAAACTTCTGTTGGATAGATAAACAGCATGAAGAGCTATATCCAATTTAGTTCTGATGCTTTAGCTTTTTGGGTAGAAGTGACCACACAGGGTTGAATGGCCCATTATTTTAAACTTTATGTTCTGAAATTTCATTAGTAATTTTATATTCTCTAATCTCTAATAAAAAAGGATTTTCCATGACATTCCTACCAAATTTTTTACATACAAATATATAAATTCTAAAGTTGCAAATTCAGAATTTAGGTATTCCTTGATAAATATTTTTTTTCAAGCAGTAAGAAATAGCCATTTGTTCCATAGAGGCTATCTCATTTTCTACTATCACCCTATTTCTAAGTAAACATAGAAGCCCATTTCCCTATATCCAACCCTTATATCTAAAATACTCATCCAATCTTTTATTGAACTTTTTCAATGTTGCTGCTTCTACTAGATTAAGAAGACAAACCATTCCACAGATATCCACTTTGTTAGAAGAGCAATGTAATTTTAACTCAATTCATCTTAAAGTTGTCTCTCCTAGTCTTGCTAACTGCAGTTTTTAATAAAAATGTCCTCCACATCTATAGGATTGCAGGTGAATCAATACTGTTTGTATGTTAACTTAGTGAATCCTAAAATCAACTACTTTTACAGTATGTAAAACAGTAGGCATTGAAGTTGAAAATGCATATTGTTAGAAAGTATATATTTAAAAAAGGGATATTTTATAGACTAGCACAACCTCTTGGCTTAGGGGAGGAGACATACTCTTAAGGTGTTTAAGACTGTTAGATGTTGGAAGCCTAACACCCAAACAACACACACACATGCACAGTGGTATATGGGATGCTGGAGATCTCTAACACTATACACTAAGCAGCTCATGATTTGTTTATCATTAGGAAACAAGTAAAGAGTTATTCACTTATCAGTCACCTGTTGCAATAATACTGCATATACTTTTCCGGCCATGATTCCAGACATTTTAGTATTGTTTTACAACTTCATAAGCAGGTTAAGGCAATGTTGGAGCCTTATATATAACTACACAGTTAATCAAATACTTTATAACCGAAATGAATAATCACAAGTCATTTTATTTATTAGGCACACACATACTTAGTCAAAGTAAGAATCTACTATTTTGGACATTCTTCAAGTAGCCTAAATTTAAAGTCAAATTAGAACAATGTCAATCTTTTTTTAAAATAAACCTTTTGATGATTATAACTTTATCTTACAAAATTTGAAAACCATTATAGAATGAGTAAAAATAAAACTAGATAATCTTTTCAGATAATATAGTGTTAACAACACTGTTTAACTTCTCAAAACTAGCTGCTGTAATGTTCTATTTCTCAGATGATGGTATGATACATAATAAAATCTGAAAAATTAGCTGTGTAACACTGTAACCACATTTATGGTATTTTTTTATATGTAAGAAAAGACTTTCCACTATAATAAAATAGTATTTTGGATTAATCAGTGTCAACTATATAGTCCTAAAGCAACTTAAGTAATTTAAATAATATTAATATATTTTCTGATATAAAAGTTTTTATTATAGTTTTACCTTACAAAGTTTGAAACACAAAAGGAATAAGTAATCAGAGAACCTAGAGCCTAATCAAATAATATTAGTTTTAGTGTGGTGATAACAGTATAAATTCTTAAGTGGGCCTATATAACTATAGACTAATTTGCTCCTTGTTACTGAACTGTTATGGCTTTGGATACATACCTCAAGCACTTTTTTGTCTTTTCTTTAAAGAGTAGGCTTACAACAGTAGAACAGTTTCACACTTTATTACATAAAAAAAACACTTGATAATATTAAACAGTAGATATTGTTACATCTGCATCTTAGAAACACAGTGCTGTTACTTTTTTTTGTTTAATAAATATTTCTTGTGTATATAACATAAAATTTTGTGTAAATGCAACTTCTGGTTCCAACTGTCCAAGTAAACAAATTATTGCCATTATGATTTCTCATTATTAATTTTGGTTTGTTCAGCTTAATCAATTAGTGTTACAATTCACAAAAATAATCAGCTGATCAAAACTAGTGTTTCTGATTATAACAACTATCCAAGTAATTGAAATATTGGAATTATGATTTATCACAATTATTCTTTTATTAATTTAATTTTTTTCAGCTTCAGGCCTACATGACCCAATGATTAGGTGGTCATCTTACGATTTGATAGCCACTGGATCAACTCTCATTGCCCTTAACCACTTGGTAGTTCAAAATTAAGGGCAGTGGTAGATAGCCTTAGTAACCTTGCCACAACTCGGAAACAAAGAAACAGGTTTAATGCTCCTGTGGCTGAAAGTGCGATTCAAGAGGAAAGGCAACTTGCTGACAGTACCTACAACCAACTCTTAGGCTACTTTCTTATCAATAAATAATGGGATTGACAATGCATTACAATGCTCCTATTGCTGCAAGGATAAACACCTTTTAAATTTTTTTGGCACTGGGTATGGAATCCATAACTATCAATTCACGAGACAACAACCCTAACTACTTGGCCATGCCAGTCAGGAAGCATTATAATGTAACAGTCAAACCTATTCAGAGAAAAAAAAATAGTCCAAGAGTTGTGGTTGGTGCTACTAGCTGGTTATCTTTCCTCTGGTAAGCAGTTCAAAATTATGGACAGCAACAGATAACCTTAGCTTTGCTATAACTCAAAAAACTTGTTCAACTTCAGATACATACCGAATTAATAAACTCACACAAAATAACAGTTATTACTACTTTCATTATCATAGCTGTGTCCAAAAGTGTGTAGGCATTCTGCTTGTGTACAACTCATGAATGTAAGGGTGTGGCATAGTGGCTAATACAATGTGCTCTAACTTAACATATTGCTTACTTACTACAGGCTAGAAATGTAATCAGTGTTACTTAAGAGTAAGGTTATTTCGATAAGAAAAAGCTACGCCAAATCATTATTCCTTATTCTATATTTAATCAAAAAAAATTTACTTTTGAATAACTTTCTCAATTAACTGTGTTGTCAGAAATTACTAAACATGGACTAATAACAGTCTAACAATGTAACACTGGTAAGTTGTTAACCTATTTACATGAATAGAGCTCTTGTTTAATTGTAAATGGCTGAGCTAGATAGAAAGCACTGAAAAGGGAAAACAAGTCTGATTGTTGTCACATGCCTATTAAACACTACCTAGTACAATAAGCTTTAAGTTGTTTGATATATTTAATTCTCAGCATGCTTATGTGTATCTACAATTTCTTGTGTCTGTACTGTAAAGAATAAATTTTCCACCCATATCAAAAGTTTTTGATTAAAAGCTTGTAATGTTTTTTATACTTATAAAGTTGTTAATTATTTTTAAGTTTATCATGCTGATAAGGGAATTGGAAAAGATATTTCTGTATTACTGCAATTTTAATATTCCTTGTAATACTTCAGCCTTCCACCTTATGAATTATAATAAGATCATCCAGTAACACCTCAAGTTTTCTTACCATATAGTACACATATAGTAGTCTTTATTTTCTAAGACAAGAGTGAACTTGTTTTACATTATCTATCACACACTACAACAAAAATATTTACTAGTTTTATCATGTGATATCTAAGGATAATTTCTCAATGTACAATTAGTTTATTTCATTTTCGCAGTCTTGTGAAAATTTGTAAAGAAAACCTATGGAACTGAATGGTATAAATAATATTTTCAGCTTGTAACAGGTTTTCTACTATGTTGCATATACAATACATTTTCATGTAAAACAGTTTAGAATTAAAAAAGTAACTTAATCCTAAACTATTATACCTGATAATGGGTATCATATTAAACAAAGCATAGTTTGGAAATGTATTTAAAAATAACCACAAATAAGATGAAAATAGGAAGCTTAGTCTAGTGAGAATAACTGATTAGTTGAATGTAATCAGTTAATGAGCCCAACAATTAACTGAATAACAAATTCCACTTCTAATCTGGTGTTTCAAGATTAAACTAATATTTAATAGACAATTTTTATAGGCCACCTGATTAGACAGATGTGCTCAATAAGAAATTATATGATGAGGTCACAACTTTACTAATAAGAATACTGATGTAATAATTATGACAGACTTCATTTTAGACATACTAATTAGGATTTCATGGAGTTAAATCGTAAGGAAGAGATTCCTTGCAGTGATTCAGGATGGATTTCTAAATCAAGTAGTTAGACAGCAAACCATGGGAGATGCCATTTTAGATTTATTGTTAACTGCTAATGGTATAGGGTTGTAAGAGTAATGATTAAGTTCGATGTTTTGAGACATGTTGATAACTTGAAAAAAATCAAATTTTAGAACCTAACTTTCAGAAAACTAGTTTTTGGGAGATGGGACAAGATTTAACATTAATAATTCAGAGTGATAATTTAATTTGAGAAATTAAATAAATTATTTTTAATTCAAGATAGGCATATTACTACAAAAAAATGGTGAAGATCAAGCCTCAACTGGTTTATTAGAAACACAAGTTAGAAAATCAGGGATATATGCAATGAAGTTCAAGAACTGTAAATTGATACATAGGTTGCAAGACTTACAGATTTATTGGAAGCTAATGATTTGGTTAAAAAATAAATTAGGAAATCCAAAACAACTAGTTAATACTGTTAAAATTGAGAACTAGAGCTGAACGACTATGGAATTTGATAATTTGTTGGTTTCATAAATTTCATTTCATTCATCTAATCAATTATTTTTAAATCAAACTTAGATAGCTAGAGTAATAAAAAACAGTAATAATCAGAAAAACTTATTTGGATTAGTTGATTATTTCATTAATCATGACACTAATCAATTAAGCAGAATAACTTGAAAATAATAATCAGAATTCATAACATAATTTTTGTAACCTATTTATAGCTTACTTAGAAAGCTGGATACATTTTTTGTGTTCTAAAATTCATATATGAAAGCTCATATGATATTATTTTGTGGACACCCAAGCTTGTGAGACTCAAAGAGGTTTAGGAGAGAACAACAAATATGTTTACTCAAGTGCAAACAGGTTGGCTATGCAACGAGTGCTCAAAATCTTTTTATAAGTAATGTTTTACTTATACAATTTCAAACAAAAGTAACAAAGTGTTAAAAATTATAAATTAACAGCTTAGCCAAAACAAATATCAGTAAAATAAAATGTCCAAAATTACACTAGTTTCGGCACCAGTGTGAAATGTGACACCAGTTCACTGGCTGCTGTGTTAGCCCTACAGGAAACAGCTAATAGTCTCCTGTTGTGATTAATTGTTTTTATGCTAGGATTAGTGTTCCAATGGCACAACCACAGTAATAAAACCATAAAATCAAAAGAGAACATGAAATGTTAAGTAATACAGAGCTTTCTGATCAAAAATGCAGTCATTGCAAAGAAACAAATGATATTATTATTAATATTGATTTTACTGTACATTGGTACTTTCTTTACAGTTGGTATTAGGATAGAGAAAATATGAGACAAGATATTCATTTAGAAGGTTCTATAGGTTAAGCAAATGAAATATGAAACTAAGTTGAAAAGTATTTTTATCTCCACATGAAGATCACCTTTCACTCAGAATGACTCAATAAACATATCTTTAGTAAAATATTTTATTAAAAAGTTTTTTGTGTGTAGAACAGACTTGTAACTTATTGATATCATACTTTCCTTTTTCCATTAATTGTCTAACTTTATAGTACTCTATTAATATATTTCTCCATGGCTGTCATAATAACTGATGACATGCAGACATAGCCTTGAAAGGTCAAAAACCCATATCTAGATATGTTGTTTTGCAAAATTACTCCTCTGTCCACTTAGGTTTATCGTTATACTTATAGAATGTTTAGCCTTAACATTTAGTGCATATTGTTGCTGTTTGTTTAAGGCTATTTATACTTTTCTGAGTTATGAGTACACTGGAGCCATTAAGGAAGTAAAACTAAAAGCAAACTGCAAAAGGATAAATTTATTTTTAGTCTGGTTTTATTTTTAGGGTTTCTTTACTTTACATTTTTACTTTTAAAATGTTTCTCTGATGTTTGTTACATGTTATTCAAATTCATTGTTTTTACATACTGGTACTTCTTACCCAATGCTTATCTTTCTTTTTCAAGTTGAACTTATTGGAAAACCTCCTTTGTAGAACTTTATCCTGTTTTAAATTATTTAAACTGCGATAAAGTACGTGAGAAACAGAACAGATTCGAAGAAAGGACATAATTAGGCCTAAAAGAAAAAAAAACGTTTAACTTCCAAATAATAGATTTTGTTACTTAATTTCTTAGCTCAGCTTAAAATAAAAACACAATATGATATCATATTTTAAACGTTTAGGGTTCATAACTGTATTCTTAGTGCTATTAGTACAGTGTTACCGTTAGTTACAGAAATAATTTGTTATCTCTCCTACGTGAATTAAAAAAAGAAACAGCGTGAAACGCGGATGAAGATATTTTATTTTAATCAAGTGTGATTTTGTTTCAGCTGCCACTTCCAATTAAGCCTGAACTACCCACTCACCCATTATAAAGTTAACCATGCTTTGCAAATATTTATTTCTCATTTTGCACCACAAGTTCCAAAATTTGTATTGTACTATAACAAGACCTAAGGGCAATATTTGTGGAGGGACGATTTTCACACCAGCATTTCCTCACCATATCTAAAGTTAACTAAACATGGCAATGTTTAATAATGGTTTTGTGTATCAACCTTCAGAATTTGCGTTGCACTATAAATAAACTCTATTTGTTTATTTTGAATTTCGTGCAAAGTTACTCGATGGCTAACTGCGCAAGCCGTCACTCATTTTAAATTGAATGATTAGAGGAAAGGCAGCTACTTAATATCACCCACCGCCAACTCTTAGACTACTCTTTTCCAACCAGTAGTGAGATTGACTGTATCATTATAACGCCTCCACAACTGAAAGAACGAAAATAATCGGGACAGTTATCGAACCCACGGCGAGTCGAATACGTGCCTTAGACCCCCTAATCGTCAGGTCATGTCAGGCTCCCACTAGATTTATGGAACAATCTTTGTGAATGAGAAACTTCACACACACCCTCACCAACTTGAAACTGAAAACAAACAAACAAATTATGTTCATATGGGTGAATGGAAATTTTTGGTCATAGTATGTGTACTAAAGGGATTGCTACAGATTCTGCTAAAATAGCAGTGGCAATAGATTGGCCTCATTCTCTGACCTAACGAGAAGTCATAAGTTTCCTTATTTTTGTGTCATATTGCCAAAGGTTTGTGACCAGCGTCTTAAGAGTATCTAACCATTATTTTTCTCACTAAAGACGAAATGTGCTTCAGATGGAATGAGAAATACGACTTAGCATTTCAGTCCCTTTAGTATGCTATTTTTAGAAACTTCAGTTTAGCATATCCAAGACAAGGTTGTAAGTTCCTGTTAGGCATGAATGACAGTGACAATTAATGGAATTGGAGCAGTATTGTTGTAGTTTCGTGGTGGAGTCGAACTTGTAATTACATATGCTGATCATATTCTAATGGCTCTTGAATGCACATACTGTACAATGGAGGAATAACTGCTTAAAACTGTGATCTTCATAAAGCACTTTTGGCACTAGTTGAATGGTAGAAAGTTTGCTGTTTGAGTGGATTATGCATCGCTGAAATTGTTGAAAAATTAAAATTCCCGAAGGGGCGATAGCATGCTGAATAACAGCACTGCGTAAATGTGATTTACTTATACACTAATGTAGAAATAGAGACCATATCTATCATTAGTAACAAAATCATACAGTAGGGTATTCTATTAGTTGATGAATGCCATGATTAACATTTTTAGAGATCCAAGAAGAGGAACTGAAGGACCCAGATCTAATATGGGCACTTTTTGCTTAGCGGCAAGATAAAGCATGAGCAGCTCAGATATAGCATAGACACATATAACCTAAAGTACTCGATCATTTTTTACATTTGATAGTTATATATATATATATATATATATATATATAAAGAAAACGAAGAATGAAGTCAACAAAAAATTTTGGATTATTTGATTTAGTTAAAATTCATACATCAAAACTGATTATGCGAAGTATGTTCTTTTAAATAATTTTTACAGGTTTAAAGATCTTATGCATTTTACTCAATTGTTATGTGTTGTTTATGAATTCTACTGCCCAATGTGGAGGGGAGTGCTTACGTCGTATTGACTGTTATAAGACTGGGAGATCGTTTAAAGGGACACTCTAATCCTAGGTTCAAGAACAGTTCAAGTATTGTTCGACATATACTAGGTGAATGTGGTGTGGTCTCAACCCCCAGTATGTTCAAAATAATCAGTAAAACCGAAAACGTGAATATGCTAAGGGGCAAGGAGATGCTTCTAATCCTTCAAATGAAGCCTAGATTAAGCAAACAGCTACTGAACTTTTATTCGCAATTTAGGTAATTGAAGTTGTTAAAACTTTCACACTCAACTGTGTAACTGTTATTTCTTTCTTCTCTCACTAGACAGGTGTATTTGTGTTTGAATATTTGCATTTGGTTCATTCTTGTATGGCTTATCAGAATATTTCTGTTCGTGTGGTAAAGATCAGGTAATCTACTGTGCAATTAACTGATACAAAATAGTCAGTAAATAAGCAGTATTATCTCAAGTTGAACTGTGTTGGCGCATATGACTTCTTTGTTTTATTTCTATATATAATGTACAAAAAATTCTGTGTCTCTCTGTTTGCCCGTTAACTAACCACTCCTAGATCGCAACCCCTACACCCCCATTATTGCTATTATTGAGAATTTATTGATTTTGACATAAGATAACGTTAACTACATTCATAGATGGCGCCCCATTCTTACACCAAAAATAAAAACTTAAATTTTCTATAAACAACATGCACACAGTGTGGGGGAAGGGCACACAAACGTCTTATACATATCAGAGAGTGCGCTAGCACTCACTATGGAATAATGCAACGAAAAAATGGCCGCTGCTATTGGAATACTACATAAACTCAGAAGAAGTTTCTACTCCAACAGCCAGCATAAGGTTGATATGAAGAACCGTTTTTGAGTTATACCAACTTCTTACTACGACCCGTGACCTTTCAACTTCGGCCCGTAAGACGCTTCTGTGGCCAATGACCGTCTATCATTTAATTACGTGAAACACTGTGGAAGAACATCAAGAGCTAGGTGTTGAAATCGGGTAACAAAAAGCACCCCTACCGCTACTACTTTTCAGCTACCTCTTCCTACAAAGTCACCCTGACCATTGCACAGTGTATACCATGTCTTAAGTTTCTACATAGTAAGTTATTAAAGCTTATACAAATCTTATGATGAGGTAATAATGAATACTGTAATAATATGCTATGTAGTAAAAAACTATGTCAAAGTTAGGATTTTTTGTGTTATTTATTCTAGCATCCACCCCAATTTTTTCTAAGTCCATAACCCGGACAAAGAACGGGGGACTTGTTCCTTATATTGCACCACTTAACCTGTCTTTGTTTTTATTTTTACAGCTTAAAATTCATCTCAAACACGCATCAACTTATAAATACATCGTGAAGATTCAGTCTTCATTCTACAAACAACAGTGACTCATTGCCATCTAGTTCTTAGTGTTCCTCTAGTTATCGCGGTTGTGTTTTATCTGTATGTAACCTTTATTTAAAAATACTATATTTCTAACAGGATTCTAAACCAACAGTTAAACTTAAAATATCTGGGAAAACAGATTCCGAAAAATTATACAGAGAATAAATCTAACATTGACAGCAAAAGAAAAGAAGCTCAAACATAAAGAAACAAAATCTTTATTCAAAAATCTGTTAGAGTGGAAAATTCTGAGCAAGTGGGGATGAGTTAGGAGAGGAAGAGAGTTGCTCCTCTCCTGAACCTCTTCTAGAATAATTTTGATGAATTAATTTAATTATTATTATTTTTACTTTCATTATTATCTTAAAGAACACTATTTGGGTGAACTGAAATGACAAATAGCCAATTCTACACTTTTCAATAATAAATAGGCTTATGTTAATAGAAATGATATATTATGAGTTGGGATATAAACAAATACTAATTTGTAGCAAGGACAAGTTACACCAAATATGAAAAACAAAAGTTGAATCCAACCAACAAATAATCCTCTTCACCCTCTGTAATTAAATAATTTTTCATTGCTTTACGATACTTAACTAAACTTGTAAGTGCCAGCTGGATAAACAATCATCAAATGGGTACATTCTGCAGTACAACAGTAAATTCTTCTCCAACAACATCATAGAATGTTTCTTTGATGATGAAAAAGGTTCGTTACGAGCCCTTCTACATTATAGACTGTTTACAAGCTTGTTTTGCCGCATTACGAATAATATGACAGTTATACGGTTTGTTTTCATCAAGAGAGGATGTTCAGTTTCTGAATTAACAAATATAGTATGATTTGTTTTGGAGTTAACAGAAGTATTGTCAGTTCCGTAACTTATGAAGTGTTCTTGCTTTAGGCCATTTGTTTCAAAAATATTCAGGAGTTTTTTTCAGAATTCCGTTTGAAGTCTCGTTGTGGTCCTTGTTGAAGTCATTAATACAATCCATTATCCTATTTTCAGTAGGCAATATCCAAAGAGATACTGATCATAATTTCAAGTTACCATTATTAGAAACAAGAGTTCAATGGAGAATGGCTTGATTACTTTCATTTCATTCAACACCAATTTAAATTAATGTGGGTCTAGAAGGTTTTTAACAAATGACTTACATTTAGTTCGACCACGTTGAATTTTTGTACTTATTTTAAAATTAGTGAACTTTTGTAGGTAATTGATTTACACAATGTTGAGATAACTAGATATGTTGGTGCTTATTTTTTTGATAAGTCATAACCAGTTCAGCAGTTGTGATTTGATGTTGCTTTGGAGTGTTCGGATTCAACAAAAGATTTTTCATTGTGTCAGACAACTTCTGACTCCAAATGTCACGTTTTGCTTGCATTCTTCTTTACTAGACTAACTTTTTTTTTTAGTTTTTTTAGAAAATGAATATTTAGAAGAATATCTGACAATTGAAGAGTCGTAACACTTTGGATTCAGGATTATTAAACCACTCATTCCAGAATGCACAAACTCTTCTTTGTTGCCTTTTTTGGAGGAGTATTGGGTGCAGGTTCCGTAAGAATAAACAACATTTTAATACAATATAATTACATATGCAAGAACGGCACCTGACTCACGATTAAAAGAATTGAATGAACACTGGTCGGGGTTGAACAGAATCACAATGGAGGTACAAAGTATTGTGGTTTTCAGATTCCCCGATATTTAGCGCAAAAACCAAAAGTTTCCACAAATTGCAGGTTCAGGACTGTTAAGCAAAGAAAAAATTGAATTCGGACTGTAAA